ACCACCCAGCCCCAAATTCTATGTTAAGAATGGAGATACTCCCCTCCTCCTCACTGCCATTTACGAAGGGCTACCAGAATACTGCAATGAGTGCAAGGGGGTTGGGAGACACATTCCAGATTGCAAACACTTCACAGCACCAGTACCGTCACCGGAAAAACCAGAATCCTATGGTAGCCGGAAACCAGCAGCTGGCATCTATGAATCTGCCCCCAAAAACCAACCACAACCAACCAAAAACCAAACACATCCAGCCAAAACCCAGATACCCCACACCTATAGACCCAAAAATAACCAAGCCAAAACCTCAAAAAGCAAAGGCCCCACACTTGAAGCACCACCCAGAAAGCCAACCACTTCCAAACAAACTAACACCCCATTAACCACAAACAACCCATTCACAATCCTAGAGACAGAAGATTACCAAAAAAACACCCCACAACCCTGAAACACTCCACCCTACTACCTCTGCTACCCCCCTCACCCTAGATACTGCTCCCACACTTAATTCCCATCATAACACCACGGCACCAACACAAATTGAGAACCCCCAAAACCAAGAGGATTGGGAAACCCTAGTGCATAAGGAAATATTTGACCTTTGCCTTCTCTCCTGGACAGAGAACCAATCCAACCTGCTGCCCTCCTCCAGCCTGGTTCAAGAACCTGAGCTTACCTTCTCCAAGGATGACCTACATTTGGAAACAGAAAATCTCAGCTTAACTCCCATTTATATCTCAGACTCAGAGGTCCAACTCTCTCTTAATTCCACTCCCTCAACCTTAGAACCTATCCCCTTACCTTCACCTGGAATAATTAACCATGAGTCTTCCATCACACTTCCTGTTTCTACTTCCACTCCAAAAAAGCCTCCTTTACAACAAACACCTGCAAAACATATTCAATACAATGATAAGGACCTCACACAGACAGTCAGGAAATCAAAGAGAATACAAGAAAAGACACAAACATTCAGTTCCTCACCCACTGTTTCTCAATGAACCTACTCTTTTGGAACATCT